TTTCACCAGTGTCCAGTGAGCTCCATTGCTGCACCTTTTCATCTGCTTCTGTGCCTTCCCTCCACCCTCCCACAGATGTGCACATAAACATACCATCTATAAGTTAAAGAATACAGAGTCATCAGAAATAGAAAAAAAAACAAATTAAGAAAAGTCTTTTGTTTCCCTATCTTAGGAGTATATTTACTATGTATATTATTTTATATAAATTCGAAGAAGCACTTAGGCATTGCACCTTTGTGATTCTCTCCTAAGACTATCCTCTTCTGGTCTCACTGTATCTAGAATCTTGTGTAATTTGTCATATCTCAGTGCATTTTAGATCTAACTTCCACATATCAGGGAGAATATGTGCTGCTTGTCTCTCTAATCTTGGCTTACCTCACTTAACATGATTTGTTCTAGTTCCATCCATTTCCCTGCAAATGACATTATTTTATTCTTTCTAACGGCTATGTAAAATTCCATCGTATATAGGTACCACTTTTTTTGATCTATTTATATATTGTGGGGCATCTGGGTTATTTCCATATCTTGGCTATTGTAAATAGTGTGGCAATGAACATGGATTTGCAGGTGTCCTTATCATATCCTGGCTCATGCTGCTTAGGATAGAGGCTGGAGTAGGGAAGAGGCTGGGTCATAGGGAATGTCTATGTTTAGTTTTTTGAGGAACCTCCAGACTGCTTTCCAGAGTGGTTGTATTCATTTACAGTGTTGTAAGGTTCCTTTTCCTCCACATCTCTACCAGCATTTGTTGTTAGAATTCAAAATGTTGGCCAATATAACTGGGGTAAGATGGCATCTTGGGGTTGTTCTGATTTGCATTTCCTTTATGGTCAGGGATGATGAGCATTTCGTCATGTTTCTTTGCCATTCGTAACACTTCTGAGAAGTCTTCTTAGATCCCTTGCTCTGGACTATGATTTTTTTTTTGCCAATCGTGGGGCTTAAACTCAGGGCCTGAGCACTATCCCCGAGCTTCTTTTGCCCAAGGCTAGCACCATTTGAGCCACAGTGCCACTTCAGACTTTTTCTGTTTATGTGGAAGTGAGGGATCATTCACACATGCTGGGCAAGTATTCTACCACTAAGCTGCATTCCCAACCCTGGACTATGATTTTTAAAGGAATTTTTAAGTTTTACAAAACTTGGCCCAGTGAGGCTACATCCTCATGTTTTTTAGCCCTTTTGTTTTCCAAAGAACTGTCTGAATTTTATTTTCTGTAAAGCTAAAATGAGGAGTCATTAACAAAGGCAAAACTCCAAAATAAGGCCTAAGCAATTTACCCAGCAATGAAGATTCCCAGGTCCCAGCTCGTGCCTGCCCATCCTGTAGAGGACAAATCGTCACCACACATCCAGAGCTCGTCTCCTCTCCACACTTAGAAAACCAGGGTCCCTTTTCCAGTCCCACTTTTCAGAGGCAGAATTCAGGTCTAATTCCCAGTCTCTGATTCTCAACTGCATGTCTAGAAATGGAAACAAATACAAAAACTAGCGTCTTAGATAATATAAAACAGCATCTCCCCAACTGGATGACCACCTTGTCATGAACAGTCTGTCTCCATCCTCTTTCTCGCAGCTGAGACTGAAAGGCCACCAAACGAACAACAAAAGCAGGAGCTCTCACAGGGGTGACCACTCGGACACAGGCAGACCTATTCGCTCACCCTGCAGATAGATGATGACTACACATGTACCTGTAGCCTGGAACAACACTCTAGAACTTCAGTAAAATCATGGGCCTGCCACTCAGGTCCTATAGCAAGAATTACTCCACACAAAAAACACAAGATAACTGTAGTCAAAAACAGAGCACAACCAGGGCACTGAAGAAAAGCTGCTGCAAATCACAACAGAAAGCGAAGTACTTACCAAGGACACCAGCCTTTCTGTTAATGTTGCAGATGGGAGGGAAGAAATGGCAAAGTACTGTAAGTCTGAGCCCTAACTTGTGAACTTCTCAGGGAGGAGCCTGAGCTCTCAGTCTGCTAACAAATTGCAGCTGGTCAGCAAAGCCAGATGGAAATGGTGTGTACGGCAAGGAGCTTTCACCTGATCAAGGTCTGAATGCTGGGAAGCTTCCTCCTTATGGTACAAGGTGCTCACTGAGTCTGGAAGAGTATTGCTTTTATCATAGCATCTAGTAAGCCATTTCGTGTCTGTTTGCTTGTTTCCAGATTTGATGGCTACTCTGAATTTCAGATTCTACATGCCTGTATCAGTGAGAGCTAGGAAGAGGGGAGAAGTTATTTCTCAGGATATAAACAGACTCTCTGAAGAGTAGCCGCTGCTTTCTGGTGTGTTAAACACAGAAGTAGTGATTATGAGCTCCAATGAGGATCTGGCAGGAACAAAGAGGTAGGTACATGGCTCATGTCTCAGTTCCAGTATCATTTCTTCCAAGAAGTCTTTGACAGACCTTCCCTAACTCAATTCCTGACAGGGGTCAGTTGCCCCTCTTCTTTAGTTACCTCCAGGAGCCAGTATTCTTCAATGACAAGTTCATTGGTCCCTGAAACTAGTCCCACTGGATTATAGCTCCTCAAGAAGAGATGTTTCACGCCACTGGCTTCCCAGGGTCTAGAATAATGCCTGGCAGAGAGTGATTCAATAAGCACACACCAAAAGAAAAGTACATACGCTGTGCACAAGCCTGTGTTTTGCATCTGTAATCCTAACTGCTCAGGAGGCTGAGAACTAGAGAATTATGGTTTATAGTCAACTCAGTTAAAAAAAAAGTCTGCAAGATTCCATCTTGAATTAACCATCAAGAGGCAAAAGACCGGGCTGAAAGTTTGTCTCAAGTGATAAAAACATTCAAGAGTGTGAGAAAAGGAAAAATCCATTTCCAAGCCAGAGAAACCCAGTAGGAGCCCCAAACTCTCTATGCTCTAGATCTTTGTCCCCAAGCCCCTCATCCACCCTCCTACCCAGCACTGTCACTTACTTTGATGCTTCTAGGCCATCTTCTCTCCATAAACTTAATTGTTTCAACTTAGCCTCTGCTATGGAGGCTACTAAGCATTTTAAGAGCAGACATCTGCTTTTTACCTAGGTCCATCCTAGGTGAAGGATGGACCTGTGGGGGGAAAAAAAGCCATAAAGTTATTATGGGAGTTAGAATCTTTTCGATCAAAGTGGTTGCTTTATCTTTATATAGGCAATACTAATTTAAGGGTAGCTGCCATCTTGTAAGAAGTTATTTTAGTTGAGCCATATCCTGTTATAAGAATTGTTTTTCTAGGTGTGGCTCAAGCAGTAGAGTGAGCACCAGCTAAGAATTGTTTTTCTAACATTTGGCTAGGCCTCTGGTTTTGGTTGATCACTCAAACTTTTAACCAACCCCTTTTTAAACTAGCCAATCTTGTAAGACTGTGAACCTTAAGTTATGACCAAGTAGAATGCCTTAAGGATAAAACCTGAGTGGACTGCCCACCCAATGCACTTGCTTACTTGGCTTTCTGTCAATAGCACTCTCTTCTGCAGAAGTAAACTTGGTCTTGCTGAGTTCAAGTTGGTGTCCTTATTCCCATGTGACACCCCACTATTCTTTTGCCCAACACCCCACTATCCTACTATACAACATTCACACACTGAAAATATAAAGTTCAAGGTGTTAGTACATTTACACTTGTGTAGACATCACCACCACCCAACTTTAGAACATTTCCACCCCTGAAAGGTTTTGTGCCTATTTGTAGTATTTCCCCCTTTCCTGGGGACTATTCTTCTGCCTCCCAAAGAGAAAGGGCAACAGAAATGAGAACAAACCCACCACGGACAGCATTCTCAGTAGCTGTACTGTTCAGAGCTGAATTCTGCAGCTTGTTAGATTTGTCTATCCTGAGAAAAACATATGCAAGCTGACTTGGTACTACAACTTGGAGGTCTCTCAACTCATCTCTCCACGGTAGCATACCAGAAGCATTTCTGACTCAGTTATACTCAGAGTAATTGTATTCTCATTTTAAGTCTACAAACCCCTTTCTGTGAACAATTCTAGCTCCTCGAATCCCTCCCAGAGTGTTCACTGGTATAACTTTCAATTTTATTCTAGTCCTAGAATCTTTTTTTCCTGAGATTTCCTCCCAATTTTAAATATTCTCTTAAATGTCCATGTAAACATTTTTAATTTTTTTTACTGTCCAAAAAGCAATTTCATTCATCACTTGGTGGCCTTCACTTGTCTGTTTAGTATATAAACCAGGTGCAATTCAGAGCTCCAAAAATCTCTAAAAGTCTCAACAATCGACAAAATTAAGCCATCCATAATTATACCCCATAGGACTTCCAATGTTTTTCATTATCCAGTTGTACTTGCTATGAGCTAGCTAATGAAGAGACTGGAGTGACGGTGAGGGTAAAAGGAAACTCATCTCTGCAAATGGTGTGGAGGGGTGGGGATGGGGGGAATGCACAGGGTGGCAGAAGCACCAGGTCTAAATGTGGTCTCTCAAACTAGCAGCCTCAACACCCTATGGGAGTATCTTACCAACGCAAATTCTCAAGACCCTAACCCAGACCCACTGGATCAAGCCATCCCACAGATTCTGATGTGCTCATTGAATGACAGACCACAGCCAAGATTCTAGAAATAGCTGGTTGGAAATAACTGTAATTGGCTCTATTGATTTCCTTCTAATCTTTAGAAGCATATCCCACTTACACATGAGTTCTCATTTATCATTTATGAGTATGTTTTCATTGCTCTGCAGGGCTGGTGGTTTGGTATTAAACTGGCTAATGAGCAGCAAGCATGCACCCCTGCTGGCTGCCATTCACTGGTCACAGGCATATTGCGTGCAGCAAAGAGCTTAGCATTCAACCTTCTTTGCCATTCTGCACTCAGGAAACAAGCAAGGGGAGGGTCCAGAAGTGTCATTTGACACTGACAACAGAGGCTATTTTTCCTTTGTATCTTGTACAAAAGAGCCCAGGCACAAAGACTAACCCAAGAAGCTAGTCTCTGTGCAGTGGAGCTGGACAGAAAGGTGATGCTGACAGCTGCCTTTGCAGACTCCAACTCCAGCATCATGAACTCATCTTTGGCTCACCTCCACTTTGCTGGAGGTTACCTGCCCTCTGACTCCAAAGACTGGAGGACCATCATCCCTGCTCTCTTGGTGGCTGTCTGCCTGGTGGGCTTTGTGGGGAACCTATGTGTGATTGGCACCCTCCTCCACAGCACTTGGAAAGGAAAGCCATCCATGATCCACTCTCTGATTCTGAATCTCAGCCTGGCTGATCTCTCCCTCCTTCTGTTTTCTGCACCTGTCCGCGCTACAGCATACTCCAAAGGTATTTGGGATCTAGGCTGGTTTGTCTGCAAGTCTTCGGACTGGTTCATTCACATGTGCATGGCAGTGAAGAGCCTGACAATTGTTGCAGTTGCCAAAGTGTGCTTTATGTATGCAAGTGACCCAGCCAAGCAAGTAAATATCCGCAACTGCACCATCTGGTCAGTGCTAGGGACCATCTGGGTCGTGGCCAGCCTGTTACCCCTGCCAGAGTGGTTCTTCAGCACCACCAGGCAGCACGCAGGAGTGGAAATGTGCCTCATGGATGTACCAGTGGTGGCTGAAGAGTTTATGTCAATGTTTGGTAAGCTCTACCCTCTCCTGGTATTTTGCCTCCCCTTACTTCTAGCCAGCTTTTATTTCTGGAGAGCTTATGGCCAATGTAAAAGAAGAGGAACTAAGACTCAAAATCTTAGAAACCAGATGCGTTCAAAGCAACTCACAGTAATGCTGCTAAGCATTGAGATCACCTCTGCTCTTCTGTGGCTCCCAGAATGGATAGCCTGGCTGTGGGTGTGGCATCAGAAGGTTAAAGGCCCACCACCACCACAAGGGTTCATAGCCCTGGCTCAAGTACTGATGTTTTCCATCTCTTCAGCAAATCCTCTCATTTTCCTACTGATGTCTGAAGAATTCAAGGAAGGCTTGAAAAGCTTGTGGAAATGGATGGTGACCAAAAAGCCCCCAGCTGCCTCACAGTCTCAGGTAACACCAGCTGGTAACTTGGAAGTTGTTCCTGACAAGGTTCCATCTCCCGAGTCTACAATATCCATTCCAGAGAAGAAAACCAACTCACCCAACTCTGGCAAAGAGAAACCTGAGAAGGCAGAGATTCCCATCCTTCCTGATGTAGAGCAGTTTTGGCATGAGAGGGACGCCACCCCTTCCATACAAGACAATGACCCTATCCCCTGGGAACACGAAAAGTGATGAAATCTCCAAAGAAAATCTAGTTTGCTGTCTTTACCGGTACCACTGCTTACTGAGTACTGCTGACCTTAGTGCATAAAGTACAATAAAATTATTATTAGGAATTACAAGAATGCTTCACCTTCTGCATTTTAAAATGTATAATGTGGTAAGTCATTTATCATGTGAGAATTATGCTTCAGAATTAAAAAAACCTGGGTGTCCAAAGAATTCGCTGTAGAAAACATTGGTTGTGTAGAGATGCTGTTGCCTGTGACCAGAATCCAGATGTTTGCTCAGCAGGGTCAGTGGCTTTTGCACCTTAGGCCCAGCCCTGTACTGTGCTGGCTGGAGTAGAATTTTATTCCTGAACCCATGGATTCTAATGTTAAAAGTTTATTTCCCATACCCAAAGCTCAAATTAAAAGTTTTGCAAGTGTGAATTTTCCTTCCTTCTTTATTTGCTTGGTATATGTTCTTACTCGATAGCACTTGACTTATCCTGATCAAAGTTTACTGAATAGGGACTACTGCCTTATTCAAGTTGGGAGCCATTGCAAACTAGCTCGATTGCCTAACTTTAACTCAGACTTCGCCTTACCCTGTAAAGGCTGTTTCATTTCCATTGAAAATCAAAGATCCCCACCTTCCCTCAGTGGTGGGGGGGAGGGGGTTTAGCATGAGAGGAAGCAGTCCCCTAAAGCCTCTAAAAATGAAAGGCTTTGCAGCTTCAAGGTCTAAACATTGTAACAACCTGACATTCTATACTGTGATTTAAATATTTTTAAATTGCCCTTTTTCTTCTAAAATACACGAAAGTCATTATCTACAATAATGTCTTTTCTCCCAAGAACAACCTAGAGCTAATGATGCAGCCTTAAATATAAAGGAGTTGTAATCTTTGATGCTAAGTGGTATCAACTTTATCTGTACTAATGAATTTGAACCCTGCCCAACTTTGAAGATATTGCAGAGCTGCTAAGTAATGAAGAATAACAAGTATTTTGGATAAAGTATGAGAGAAAAAAACCAATAAAGTGACACTGTCCAAAAAAATGTATTCTCTACCTGACATAGGTCACTATAAACCCTTTGTACACCACCTTCAAAATAAAAAGCTAAAAAAAAAAACATTAGGACAGAATTTGGCTAGTAGAAAAATCACAATGGTAAGAAGGAATAAAAACCATGTTCTCTGTACCTATATAGTAAAATTTGAACAAGCAAACTGCTGCCTCATTTTATAGTAAAGTAAAATGCATCTAACAAAACATTATGGAACATCTTCCATTATTTGTTCACCCTAGGATATTTTCACCTCCACCCAGGAAGAAAAATTCTTCTAAAACAAACAAGATAGTGAGAGATTATGACTGCTGTTCTTAATGTTAGGTCTGAGATTGTGTTTGTTTGCTTTTCATAAAAGGTCATAGTTTGCTTTTCAACATGGCAAGATATAGATTTCTTTTGACTTGTTCTTTGTAAATTTTACTTAAGCTCACATTTTCAAAAAAAGTAGCTTAATCCAGGAATTCAAAATGTTGTTCTCTGACACCAGTTATTCAAGGATTACATTTAAATTGTGAGACACAACTTAAGAATTTTTATGTCACTAGAAAGCATGAAAACCTGCAGGGTTTGATATTTAAACTTGCAAAGAGATAAAAGCAATGTTTTACTTCATATAGGTGTCAGAGACTTTGATCATTTCAAATTTATCACTTGGAGCAACAGGGCTTTATGGGGAGATGTCACAGGTGAATTGCAGACAAACACATCAAGATGAAGATACACTGCAACCAAGTGTACTAGAACCTTTCTTGAAGAACTTGATACAATAACTTGCTACCTTAAGAAAATGTGAATAGGCCAAGTTTGATTTGCAACTTACTTGAACACTGGAACCAAAATATTTAATAGTTAAGACAAAAGCAGTAAATAATAGATGTCACCAAGTCATTTTCTTCACTCTTCTATACTGTAAAAAATGGCATTAATGAATGAACAAACAGTACTATGTGGAATTTAGAATAACAAAATACAGTGGCGTAGAACTCTGACCTTTGCAGGAAGTCCTGTTTCTGTAATGGTTGTACACTCTTTGGCAAGTACTTCAAATTTATTCATTAAAAAAAATCACTTGGTGAATTTATAAAAACAAATTTCAGAAGGAAAAATATACAAACCCTATTCAAATCCTATTTCTCAATTTTGCAGGTTGAGACCAGTCTGACCCACCAACGTCAATTTCAATATGTAGCGCTCAGAGTTTCTAAGGCACTTAGGTTTTGTTGCATCATAGTAGGTGTGAAATAGAAGAGAAATTATCTTCTTAATATAAATGTATCTTCTAACGCATTTACTCATTTGGCATGCAAAGACTTATTTATATGAGCAAGCTCAGAGGATCCTACAATAAAATAGGATTTTTTTTTAATCTGGGGAGGTAAAGCTAGAAAAAAGTCATTAGGAATCAAAGCTAAGTCCACGGTGTGGTTCCCAGGACAAACTGAAAGGATGCCAATAAGGCACAAGCCATTGATGTTCACACACACAAAAAAAAGTTAAACAAGGAAATCTTCTGACTATTGGCAAAAAGTATTATTACCAAGTCTTGAACACCAATAAAAGAATTCTCTACAAATTTCTTCCCCTTTGTAGTAGAAAACAGTATTCTGCCTTTAAAAACTACTTAATATTCAAGTTCAGTCAACTTTGGTTTAAAATGAAGACTTTATAAATTGTGTAACATTAATCATATACAATCCACATATATAAAAAGGGTTGGTTTATTGTAGTTCAAATACATAAACAGAACATTCAAACATTTTAAAATTAAACTTTAGAAACAAAAGTTCAACATTCAAACAGGAGGAGAGTTTACAGAGAACACCCAGAAAGGTAATTTTTGTTGTCTAACCCAGGATATTGGTGAAGATCATTCAATGGCAAATAAAAGATGTTTAACCAGTTCTACTCTGGCTAACACATTAGTTATGAATGTGATTCCATACCTGAGAAGAAATTACTAAATATATCTTCTCTTAGGCTAAACAACAAGACTTGGCCTATAATTCAGAAGGGATAATCAAAGCACATAAGTGAACATAGAACTATACTGTTCTTTAGAGACAAAGGCAAAAGTACGTCCATTATGGTATTCTTAGCCTCTGGAAGAATTCAATTTTCAGTGTTTTTTTTTTTACCCGCTTTAAAAAACAAAATCAAAACAAACCCCAACTTAGGTTTCTTAAGAGTCTGTGGCATGTGCATCTTGCGAGTTCAAACCACAAATGCTCCTATGTCTTGCATGTGTAACACTGCTAGAAAGAACATCACCAAGTCACTGACTTCCACATCTTATAAAAGGATGATTTTTAGCTTCAAGATTTCAGATTTACCAGAGACAGCCTATATTTGAGTATGTATGTCAGTCATGCCACACAAAGAAAAGCATAAATATTTCCAGAGTGTTCTGTTCAGAAACGGTTCGTGAATGCTTCTCCTTCTGTTCGTCGGATGGTTTTGCAATAGGTTGACTAATGCACATATGAAAAAACCCTGAAAACTGGCTCATGCAAGCATTTTGATTAATAGATACCCCAGTGGAAGATTATTTAGAATTATTTTGTAGATCGTCTAGTGGGTTCTGATGCTGTAGGAGGTGGGGGTGGACCCCGGCGATCCAGGTCATCAACGTAAGCCACGATCAATTTACGCCTCTCCTCTGGTACACAGTCCAATACTAAATACCGTTTGTCATTTTGCAAAATTTTTTCTACATCTTTCAGGTGCTGATCCGACTCTTGGATTAGCTTTTTGGATCTGAAATAAGAAAAAGAGGTCCAAGAATTACTGACTGCTGTTCATTCATCTTTCAGAAATGAGCTGGAAATGTCCATCTAGCTCCTAATTGTGTTTCCATTTTTTTTTTTAAAGAAAAATTTCACTGCAGTAGTCACCTTTGTAGTCACCTCAGCAAAGACTCCAAGGAGTGAAAGGGCCTCAGAAGCTGAATTACCCTCCCACCCCTACTGGTGGTCCCTCCAGATCAGGGCTGAGGGTGGGTGGGTAATCTTGCCCGTTCTGTACCTGTTCTGTGGATGAACAGAGGACTTCAGTCTGCGGGGCTGCCAATCCCAGCATCTTTCACAAGCTTTCACTTTCACATCTTTCATTAAATTAACTATAAAAATGTAGAAAGAAGTCTTACTTCACATCTAATTTAAAAGCCCAAGCTGATAAAAACATTAAGGATCCTGACCAAAAAATCCAAATGATAAAATACCTAAAAACCACACCCTCAGCACTATCTATCCTCCCGTGCACATACCCTTCATTAAGATATTTCATATTTTCTTTAAAGGGAGAAATGCTGGAGGATGAAACAAAAATGATTTCTTGCATACTGATTGGAAAGCAATGCAAAATTGAATTCCCGATAATTACGGAATGGTGGAAACAACTGGGTATGTTACAAAGAAGTCTTGTTCGAAGGTTTCTGATTTTATATTTTTTCAGATTCAAATGGATCCAGCAAACTGCTTTCCTCTGAGAAAAATTTTTTGCTAAGCTTAAGTAGATTATTTCAGGCATTAGAATGGTCTAACCACACTGAACAGTCTTCAGAGGAGGCAAAGAAAATTGGTAGTGAAGTATTGTTTTTAAAGTCCCTTTGTGAAATATGACTTTTATATGGTTAGGAGTACTCCTTAATAATAGCAGTGAAGTAAAAACAAAAATATGTTTTAAAAACTGAGTGGTGAATAGTATAAAATAAGAATTGACATCTGGGCCCTTTCTTTCAAAAACTTTTTTTAAAGAACTGTAGATAGAAGCTATGTGTGGCCTTGGATAAAAGTTGGCATCTTCTTATTCCTAAAAATTAATAATGTCATTTTGCAAAATGTCAACATGTGTGTGAATGCAAAGTATGCTTTGGCCATTAGAGCAAAGACTAGTAAAGACAACAACTGCCGATATGAAACATTTCACTGCACACACCTATATGTAATAAATTT